AGGAGAGACTCTGAGCAGAACCAGGCAGGACAAGAAGACCACAGATCCAGAAATACCTAAAAGAGATCCAGGAAGAAAGGACAGAGAAATGCAAATTATGAGGGAGAGAAGTATAAATGCATGGAGGACCTGACGAGGATTAACACGTGTGAACAGGATAGCTGAGGTAGAACTAGGTCAACAACAAAAAAAAGAGATTTAACGACGATAACTGGAGCGTGAAAGACGAACCGAGTGAAATCAGGTAGCAAATCAATAGTAGTGGACGTGGTGAGCCGCTTCAGCCTCATGTTCTCTTTGACTTTGTGTTCCTTTTAACTTTGATCAAACTCATAATCCCTGTATTCTACCAGCGCTCAGAACATCACCACCTTCTGCTCAACCGTCCATTTCATGAATGGAGAAGCTCAGGTCCACTACCTCGCCCAGCCATTAATCCTCATTAAATAATCCTCCGTGCTGCTTTACTCTTTGCCGTGGCTTGTACCTGCACCTGTAGCTACAGACAGACAAGCCAACTATCCACTTTGTTTATTAGAGTCTGTAATAGGATTCATGTGCATAATCTTCTTTTGGAAGCAGAGGAAGATGCCGGAAAGGGGAAGACACCATCCAGAGTACAAGAGCAGGGACAAGCACTATTCACACAATGGGGAAGACTCTCCGTACGACGGCCGAGACCGCAACCAGAGGCCGAGATACGTGGACGACAGAGGCTCTGCTGGTGACAGGAGGGCAAAAGAACACAGACAGAGGGACGTGACAACTGCCTCTCACAGGGAGCCACCTGTTTACAGAGAGCACGACCGTGAAGGACCCTCGAGACTGTAAGAGACCCTGTATGGTCTTACAGCACGGCCTGCACTCACAGCTACGAGCTCCACACAGGCCGATTATAACGTGTATTTGTTGTTTTGTAAAATTGCACATTGTGAAAAAAACTGTTTTGTGCTCACAGGTCCACAGAGACTTCAGTGTATAACTTGGAAAGAGATTATTATGAGCAGCCACAGAAACCAGCTCTGTACACTTTTAGATACGTCTTAACCAGTAGAGGCAAGTATGTTTATTCCCAGAG